TACTGATAAAGCTCGTTGGTTGGTTGGTTGGTTTTTTTTTGCTGATCTATTTAGGCACTGATCCAGACCATAATGCCCAAACTTGGGTACAAGATTATTATACAGGATGCTGCTGAAAGCTTTGCTGAAGCTCAGGTAAAGGACAGCCGCTGCTCCTCTCTTCTCAAGAAATGCAGTCCTTTCATCTTAGAAACCAAAGGATTCTTTGGATGGACAGGCACGAGTTACTCTGGGGAAACCCATGAGCATTGTCTTTTAGACACCCAGAAAAGACATCACAGAGGACATGTTCTGTGACACACTGCTCAGTCAAAGACAGTTTGAACAGCCTTTAGTGCCCCTGCGAATCCTTTGGGCTCTTTGGAAGATCCATGCAACGTTTACTTTTTTCAAGTTGTTGGGGCGTTCTCATCTCCATGAGCTTTCAAAGATGATACAGAGCTGTGGTGGACTCACCTTGGCTGGCAGCTAAGACCACACATCTGCTCACTCACAAAGCCCTAACATTCAGTGGGATGGGGGAAGAGAATAGAAACAGCAAAAGGGAGAAAATTCATGTGTTGAGGTCAAAACAGTTTAAAAAGTGATAGAAAAGAAGAAGAAAAAAGGGGAACAAAACAAGTGATGCAAAGGCCATCGCTCACCACCTCTCACAGAGACTGATGCTCAGCCAGTCCCAGAGCAAGAGATGGCTGCCTACTTAATAGCAGCTCCAGGGACGCTGTTGCATCCTCCACAGCCAGGAGGAAATGGCCTGCCTCTTGTAGGCAGGGTCTGTACCTTGGGTTAACTAGTTATGCCATACACCCCCAACCTACTGACTGGGGCAGAGTGAGAACCAGAGGAGGCTTTGGGGCAGCACAAGCCTGTTCCGCAGAACCTACACTGGTCGTGTGCGGTCAGCAGGGGTTTGGTCACAGATCGAAACCACAGCACCAGCAGAGCTGCTGGGAAGAGAACCAACACCAGCCGTAGGAGAAGAGAGGGCCTCGGTAGGACCTTGGGCTCCTCTCTCAGCACTCCTGCCTGCAGGCCCTCCGGTCCCATGGGCTGTCCAGGGCTGAGTAGCCCCTGCCTTGATCCCCACTCACTGCTGGTTGCTCTCCTCCATCGTCCTGCCTCCAGGCACACAGGCCTGGCAGACCTTGCTGATAAAGAGAGAGGCAAAGAGGCCATAGAGTACCTCCCACCTCTTTACATCTTCTCTTACTAAAAGGGGCAGTGGCCACACATTATTCTTGTTTATTCTTCATCTCTTACTTCAGTAGTCAGAGATCATCTTGGTGCCCCTGAATTCCCTTGCACGTATCCACTCCAGGGAAGCTTTGCTTGCCCACAACTATCCTGGTTTCCAAATTCCTTCTTTGAAGTGATCCCCTCCACCCACCCCCTCAATGCTTTCCTGTTTCTGTGGAGCTTCCCAGTGAGCTCCTGCCATGCCATGATCCAGGCACACTGTGGGTATCATTGCCCTGTTCCTTGACTGTATCATCAAGGGGTGAGTAAAGGGTTGGAGAGAGAAGAACCAGCAGAGGCTGAGAGCGCAGGTCCAGGAGTGGAGACCCTGGTGCGATGTGCTTCCTGTTCATGGACTGCCTGCATCTGCTGAGTAGGGATGGGACAGACCTGGCCTCACTGCAGTTGTGGGACTCATTCGCTTGCACGCAGAGACGAAATCTTTCTGAGTTTCTTTTTGGTGTCTGTTTACTCCCACAAAGAATGTGGTCAGTGTTCCTGTCAGTCCTGTGTTGTCCCAGAAAACGCATACGCACTTGTGCTGGAGAGTGTTGACATCTAATGTCGCTCTCACTGCTGCACGGATTTGGCCATGAAATGGAATGATTCTGACAGAAATGTGTTTTGCATGGGAGGGAGGTGAGACTCCTTCCAGTCCCAGGACTGCAAACTCTGCATGAGATGCCTCCTTTGACTCAGCTGATATCCCTTCCCCCAGCACAGGCAAAGGACGTCCCTCCCTGTCACTGCCCAGATGTCCTGTGTAATGGTGGGAAAAGGAAAGGGGATTCTCAAACCTGACTGTGTCTGAGAGCAGAAAAGACATTGCTGGAAAGCTGAGTCTCTGCAGAGGTGAGAGCGGAAAGATCAGTGATTACTTTGGTTTCTTTCCCAGTAGGTTCCTGGGGAGCTCCTGGGACATCTGGAGGAAGTGCAGAGTGAGGTGGAGGGGGCAGAGCCAGTGACGCCCTGGGCGGGTCCTGTGCTGCTGAGCTGGGCCGGGCTCCCGGGATGGAGGGAGCTCCTGGCAAGCGGGCAGCGCTGCAGAGAGACAGCTGTGCCCAGGAGCAGGGCTGGGGGCACTGCCTGCGGGCACCCAGGGGAGAGGAAAGAAGTGAGAGAGAGGTTAAAAGCAGTTGGGAGTGAGAGGATGCTGAGAGCTCACTGTGGAAGAAATCTTTACAGCCCTTGATGTGGTAAGTCCCTGGGTGCAGGGCAATTCAGCTACAGTTCAGGGATGGATCTCATAACCTGGGATTGCCCACAGCCTGTGGTGCTGCCAGCAAGAATCTCCAGGCTTTTTTGTGTAGAGGAGGATGACATGCTCCAAAGCAGGGCTGCCCTGCTGCACCATCAGAGGGACAGGACATGACAGCTGCCTTCTCCCAGGGCCGGCTGCA